CCCCAAAACCCCAAAACCCCAAAACCCCTATTTTGTTAGCCGCTGTTGAATTTCTTCTATAAACAACTCTTATGCCCACTTGGTGACATTAGCTCAGAGCTGGAAGCAATCTGCATACTTTGGTTCTAGAGTATAAACTCAAAGCCTACCTTAAGGTGCATATTTTCCTTCTTTAGTTCATTATAACTCCTTTCACGTTGCTCTTTATCTTTCTTAAGATGAGCTTCTCTTCTTTTAAACTTTTCTTCATATTCTTCACGTTGTTGGTTGAGTTGGAGGATAAGTACCTGGCATTCCTTCTTTAAGACAATATTTTCATCAATAATGTAGGACACTTTCTGTAGTGTGTAGGAGCCAACCCTAGCAAAAGTGTTTGGCTCATGATATGTATCCTTTGAAAATCTGGTATGAATCTCATCGATAGATGTAATTTCAGGCACCAAGGCAGCTTCTTCACGCAAATTCTCCTTCGCTTGGTCTAACTGGTTTGTTAAAGAAAGGATATTATCATTCTTGAGTTGTAAAGTTTGGGTTAAAGACTCCAACTCAGCCCTAAGAACTCTGACTTCATCATCTGATTTCTGTCTGAGTTTATTGAGTTCTTGTCTAAAAATGGCGATCTGCTCCCTAACTACGTTCTTTTCATTCTCTCTTGCTTGACTTATATTCCTCATTTCTCTTTTGAGTTGGTCATTTTCCTGTTGAAGTTCTTTGATTTTATCTCCTGCGCCTTCACCTCCATTGGCTTTTTGTTGGATTTTCATAATTTCTTGGTCTTTGAGAGTCAATTTCAGGCTGAGTTCGCTGATTTCATCCTTTAAGACTTTGATACTATAGGATTTTATAGTACAATCGAGCTTCGCCTTCTCTTCTACATGAGTTATTTGATCCTCAAATGACTTTGAGGTTGAGGAATTAGCCTCCTTGAGGCTCTGGATCTCCCTATTAAATTAAACTCTTCTGGATGATTTAGGTAATTATGTAAAAAGTATGGAAAATTGATTAAACTTACCTTTCAAGGTTCAGGATAATACTTCTCGTTACATTTTCCTGCTCTAGATTATGTCAAGACTTCAAAAATAATACTTTACCTCGTCTGTCTTCCATAAGGCGGGCATTTTCGGTCTGTAAATCTTGAATTTCTTCCTCAAGGAAGTAGATTTTCTCCTTAAGATCATTCATTTCATTATTTAGTCTTATTAAAATCTAGAGCTGTCTTCATTTGTTCTCTATTGGGTTAGAAATAATTGTAAGTACACAAAGTTTGACTCTATTCGGGCCTCCGAAGATGGTGGCTTAGTGGAGTCCTTAAACAGCTTGGACTCATAGTCCTGACCGAGATCCATCAAAGGAGGCCTACTGCCCTCAAGAGGGTTATTCCCCGATTTTCTAGCCGACTGCATCGGGTTTAGAAGTGAACTCATAGTCATTGGATGACTTTCCCTCCTATTATGCTTACTATGGAATAAATTTGTGTTAATATTTTCCTGCTGGATTTCACATGGAGATGCCTTCATAATTGGACTCTCTGTAATCTTGTTCTTAGCCTCTTCTTGAAACTTCACAGACTTTTCAAAAGGATGGTCCCGGTCTCTTGTATATTCCGCTTGGGACATTTTTCAAAAATTTAAATAATTTTTTAGCAAAAGGGGTTTTGGGGTTTTGGGGTTTTGGGG